AAACACAGGAAATTGCCTACACTGTAAACTATCATCCTCCACTGCAAAGAGAGAAGTGCCAATCCGAACAAGACCGTTGTTATGTCAGTTCAATGTTTGGAAGAATGACCAACACGGACCGAATGGCTTTTTTCATGTCTTCCGCTCCCATTTCTAAAACTACAGGCAGACGACTACAGCTCTAAAACGGCGAAGAAAATCGACGTCATCGTTCACAACTTCTCTTTCCGTTCGCTGATTGGCCTGGTCAAAAAATCGTTCGGAGATAATCCGAGGCTGGGGGAGAATGTAGAATGTGCTGGAAGCAACATTTTCTTTTCTTTGCTCAAGGAGGCTAGTAGATTATGAGTGTCCAAAGTTTTTCTGGAGACCATTTGTGATACTTCTAGGATTTTTATGCAAACCCATAGATGACATGTTTGCAGGTTATTGCTATTACTGTGATATGTTCTCCCTTCTGATAGACTCTAGGGGGCGTGGCTAAGCAGGGAACCGGTGGCACACCTGAATTTAATCACTTCCTGCATATAATGAGCAGTCAGACGAGCCTCTCTGTTTGAATGTTGAACCACAGCGGTCGCATCAAACTACTTGTCTCTTGGAGCAGTGTTTTTATGCCAAGTCTTTCAGGGGTTCAGTTTTCAAAACATTATGTGCACACAGCTCCCCCTGCTGGACAAAGACGGTTTAACATCCAGAGACATGACGTGTAAAATGCACACTGAAGGCTTTTTTTTTTTTTTTTTTTTGTGGTTGTGTAGACATGAAAACTACGGAAAATTAAGCGAAATCAATTAATCTTAATAAATGCTATTCATGGTTTGTTCATTCATATTGTGCAGAATTTATTAATAAATTTGTCAAAGACTTAATGACCTACAAGGACGAAGTTTAGGCAAGGTCAATTAAATAAAATTGAGTTGTATTTGTTGGTTTTTTTTTCCTAGACAGAAGTGATTTTGTTGTCCTTGTTTAGATGTTTTTACCTCGCTGAGTGTAAACCACACGATGCCAGTGTTGCGTAAGATCTTAACTGGTGGCAAAATTCTTTAGATGAATATGGGTTTTGAAAAAACTTTTTTTTTTAGATAAATAAAACAAACTAAATGAATGAATATGGAAAACATAATATTTCTATCACTGCAAAATCTTTAACAAAAACGGGACAAAATGTGTTGGTTAGCTGTAGTGAGCTACTTTTATCACAAGATGGCACCAACGACGCATCAAATTCCACGCATTTGTCCTCATCAGCCGTGAAAATGTAATCATGTAAAAATATTGTACGTTTCAAGTCAGACGTTTTGAGAGGCATTTAAAAATTGCCAGACAAACTTAAACATTTTAGCAAATCGATCTTCTTTGACTTCTAACATTTTAGCTCTAACACATTTTGATTTGCATAAATTTGGGTACATTTTAAATTAAAATATTCTGATCTTTAGATTCTACAATTATGTAAGTCTAAATATTGCTGAACAAAAACACAAAACAGATTCGATGCTGTCATCATTGAATTAGCAGTGATGAAACCACAAGTTGAGTTAGAAAGTTTTAATGACCTCTTAAAGCCACTGGGTAACACTAATAATGAGTTTATTCAAAAGGCAAAGTGAAAATCAAACATGCAAATAACCCAGCAGCTCATCAGGAGTGCTCTGATTTACTGCAACAATCACATGTTGGTTCTTGTGTGGGTGCAGAGAAAATCTGTTGATTGGTAATGATTAGAAATGAACAGAGCGCGGAAAGAAATATTAAAGGGAGAGCAGCAGGAGAATGGCGACAGCAGCTTCCCAGGGACGAGGAGATTCCCTGAGAAAGCAGGCAGCCGTGATTCCTTGAAAATCAAAACTGCTTCAGATGTCATTATCGCAAGGATAAATAACAGGAAAAACACCTTAATTTCATATAAATATTTTCTAAAGCTTGTAAGTCCTGAATATCATATTGTCTAACCTACAAGTAAAATAATGAATACCTAACGTTTATTTTTTAGAAAACAACTTCCATGCACTTTTAACTGTAAATGAACTTAAAAATACAGCAATTATAAATCTTTATTTAGTTTTTCATCATTTTAGCACTAGAGGCAAGAGGCTCTGACAGTGTTTTGTGGACAGAGAGAGGACGATCAGGAGTTGACAGATGGAGGAAACTCAGCAGCAGAAGGACGACTGAGTGGTGGAGAGCAAAATGATGAGTAGCAAATGATCTGGTTATGTGGGTGACACGTCGAGGTGACAACTCGGGGGGTGACACTTCAGGATAACACCTCGAGGTGACATAGCGGGATGACATGGATGAAGAGAAGGGAGAAAAAAAACACTCCATGCTCAAAAAAAATAAAAAAATCAAGTCTTCAGGCTCTGAAGAGACTGCTGCTGTGACACGTGCACAAACAAAATGTTTACATTTCTCCACCGAGTCTGCGCTTCACCGAATCCTGAGGACTTGAGAAGGGTAGGTGTCTTATTGTAGGATGGTGGAAGGAGATACATCATCTGCAGAAGAACCCTGCTCCAATCTGTCAAGGAGTTGGATGAACCTTGAGATTTACAAACTTCACCTACGATCAGGAAATATGGAACACGATCAGATGAACGAGATCATTAAAACAGATTGATGGACCACTTTTATTTGCCTGGGGATCATTTTGCACCTTCTGGTGGTAGCTCATTTCTGGCTTCTGAAAGAGTTTCAAGTTGGGGCTATGAAAATAAAATTATACCTACTAAATAAAACATAATTTTTTACTCATGGACTGTAGCCTTCATCCTCCAGGGTTGCACTGCTAAATACGCTTAGCTCAGTCTTTTACACCTGATCTTTGCTTTGTGTCAACATTTGACTCACATAGTGCCAGAAAAGTTGAATGTTACATGAGATCAAGCAGAAATTACATTTTATATCAAAAGAAATATCTGACATTTGAAGGGTATGTGTATGATCTGTCACTCCTTCAAAGGAATGAGTGTTCCTAGTACAGCTTTTTACTTCCACTCAACTTTCTATGAATATGCTTTTTTTTTGGACAATGTTTTAAATGCAGAGTTAGAATAAAAATGTTTAGAAAATCCAATTTAAAGTCAATTTAAATCTAAAGCCAGAAAGATTTTTTTTTCATTAGTCTGAGAACAATCAAAGCGCTTGTGTGTGCGTTTTGGGTAACATAGATATTTTCCACATACCCACTGACCTTGCTGATGGTGGTGAGTGAAACTTTCTTTCATCTCAGCACCAGACACACAATGCTTCTGCTGCTGCAGCCTTGGAGGCGTGCTGCCTGCTGGGTAAGTGCTGTTGTCAGGGCAGCTTCATCTCAGTGTTGGACGCCTCCCTACAGCCAGCAGCAAACTAGACTCCTGCTGCATGGCTTCACTCAGTCATATGAGAGAGCTCTAGCTGCAGTGACGCTTGGCTGTGGACACGCCATCATGCACATGGAAGATATCGCTTTGAATTGTCTTATTCCTGTGTTTAGGGAATATTCAGAAATTTACAGAAAACGTAATTTATGTGGGGTGATTCTGTCGCATTTGGTCTGTTCCAGTGTGTGCCAATTTATGAATAAAGATGTGCTCAATCCTCTTGTAGTTATAAATCTGTGAACCTGGCATTTGCAACATTACAAATTTCATGAATTTGAAAATGACTCCTTATTCAAATTGTCACGGCATTGTCAGTGAAATATTTCACAAAAATGGTGAAATTCTTTAAAAACGCAAAAAAAAGACATCAGGGTGATGCTTTCAGTCTGTTCTGGTGAAGAAGAGGCAGCTGCATGAGCTGAAAAGTGATGATGTGGACTGACTGGTTCATCAACCCATCCCCAGGTTAAAAAGGTTATCATTTAAGGAATAAGATCATGGGTGCAAGGAGCTGAAATTAGCTTCCTGAATAGGTGGGCTGGGAGCTGAGCTCCTAATTTTCCACAAAATATTGCTGAAATCTGGCCTTGTTTTTATAAACCCAATGTTGTGTGTTGTATGGGATGCATCTTTACCAATTCTTCACATGCAGTTGATGTTACCCCGGTAAAAAAAAAAAAAATATATTTTTTTTTTTTTTTTTTTTTTTCAATCATGGTTCTTCGATGCAGCAATTTCTCTATTCTCCTATTTTTTTATATTAAATTAGATTTTTTTTTTCCAGTTACTTTTTTCACATTTCCTGCTGTTAGTTTTGCTTCCTGTTGCTAGCAGGAAGCAAGATTGTAACTCACCTGGTCTGTATTACTGACGATCTTCCTCTTTATAAAGTCTGACTCCTCTCTGTGGTCGTGGTTTAGTTTCTGTCTGTAGAATAGCTTTTTTTCTGCAAGTAGGAGCTCTTATTTAGTCAATTTCATTTCCTCCCTTTTTTTCTTCCCTGCGTCAAGGTTAATGAGTGAGTTCACCTTTTGCTTTCTCCCTTTATCCTTCAGTCTTGCTGAGGTTGCTCTACCTTCAGACTCTCACTCATCACTAGGCTGAGCAGAAGTGGTCTTCAGTTTTCTAACATGCCAGGCCATGCAGAGAACTTTATACGGTTAGCTAATTAAACTAAAAAAAATACATCTTTAAATGAATGTTTTGAATGAATATACACAATGATCTATTGAATGAAACAACCCACATGAAAACAGATAGCAAACATATAAATGCAAATGTTCCTGCTATCTGTCTGTCTTCTAATCTTTGCCAATATTTTAGACATTTTCTCTTGATTTTTGCTGAGTTTCCCTTCCTTTATTCAATCCCAGTCTCTGTGTGACTAAACTAAAGTAAGTAATTTATCTCAATTAAACAAATTTGTTTCACTCTATTATAAACGGAAACTGGCTTATCCATTTTTGTCTTTATTCATTGATGTGAATTTTTTTTCCTTCAAGATGCCCATTTTTGAACATCTGTCTCTCACTTCTCGGACCACACTTCAGTCTAAAAGTCCAGAGATAAGAAAGTGGAATAAAGAATGTTCCCAATCTGCTGATATTTTTGCTTTACCACCTCATGAGAAACGAATAGATCAGATTGTTTAAAGAAATAATAAGAAATATTATTTAACCTTAGTTTTAACATATACAATTGCCAAGCTTCTTGGCCACATCCCGTTCTGACTACCCCTTAAAAACTTTGTGGATGTGCCCCTGCTCAATAACCGATTAATCAGGTTATTAATCGGTAATTAATAACCTGATTCCCTGTAAGCTCCCATGGTCGATCAGTCACAGATCAGCGTGCATCAGTCCCTTTGCTATTTCTGTGCATCCCGTTACGCCGCCAGGAGTTGTGCGCAGCTCCCCGGACGTGCTCGCGTCGCACCGCGCCTCCCCCTCCTCTTCTCCCGTTCTCCCTCTCTCTCTCGTTCCCTCCCTCCAAAGGTGACCGGGGAGTCGCGCTCCGTGCCCGTTATTTACCGTGCCGAAGTTGAAGCGGAACCTGACGCAGATCAGCTGATGGAGGTTCTCTGCTTGGCGTGCAGCTCCTCTCTCCATGCTTCCCCTCTGCAGGTGAATCGTTCCTCACATGTTCGTCTCTGCGCTGCCGCGCTCTTCTTCGCCGGGGCTTCGTCTTCATCCAAAGTCATGTCCCCCCTGACGCTCAGATGTTGGTGAAAGGACGCGCATGCGTTGATTTATTTTGGAATACTAATTTTGCCTCCTAAGTTGCGTCCCTGCGAGGATCCAATGTGGAAGCCGCTGGCCGCATCAGAGTTGCCAGCAATGTGGATTACAGTCTGCAGCGTGTCTCTGCTCATCACTGTGGTCTGCGGTGCGCAAAGGTGAGATCTGACAGCAGCACCTCTGATTCCACACAGGCCTGAGCTTGTTTTAAGTAAATCTGAACTGGAAATGCTTTCTCTGCTCCCCTCCCAATCTTTTAGCGCAAACGAACCCAGCAACATGTCCTACGTGAAAGCGACTGTAGACAAGTTGCTGAAGGGCTATGACATCCGTCTGCGGCCTGATTTTGGAGGTAAACTGCAGCCGGTTGCCATGTGGGGCTCAGCGGGGCTGCTGCGCCGCCTCCTAACGCTCTGCTGTCTCCACAGGAGCTCCGGTGGATGTGGGAATGCGCATAGACATCGCCAGCATTGACATGGTGTCTGAAGTCAACATGGTAAGTTTGAAAGCAGCGCAGAGTGGAAATGTGTGTTTTGCTTTGGTGCAGCGTTGCTCCTGAAGGAACTCCCCTCACGGCCCCCCATTTCCCCCCCCTCCCAAAAAAAAAAAAAAAAAAAAACAATTCCCTCCCTCCTTTTCCTCCTCGTCGTCTTCCTCCTGCTTTTCCCTTCAGCACCGTGATGAGATCCGCAATGTGTCAGCCCCAATCCGCATGCATCAAGTCCTTCCCCGCGGTGTCACAGCCGGCGGTGGCTGAGAATTAACAAGGCAGGCAGCTGAGAGGCTGCTTAGTGATTCCACACACGATCTGCGGCCTCAGCGCGGCGTGTGGGACAGAGAAGGTGATCAGAACCGTACAGACGGGGTGGGGGGTAAAAAAAAAATAACCAATTTTTTTTTTTTTTTTTTTTTTTTTTTCTGTGCGTGCTCTGCTTGTTTTTAGCCTCAGCGCAGTAATTGCATAACGGCTGTCAGACAGCGGGGCTGCGAGTCTGTCTGCAGAATATGATGTGACCACTTCATACAGAGCACAGAGTACAGCGCTGCCAAGGTGCACAGAGGCTGAGAGAGTCTGACAGATTCACACGTTTCCCCTCCCCACGCACTCTGGCATAAACACACTTTGACTGCTGCATGTTTGACTGAATGAAGATGTAACCCAAACACACTCACGCACACACACGCAGAGTTGAAATGAGGGTGAATCGGACAAAAGTTTGAAGTTAAAGCTGATGGGCTGGTTTATTGAACCTTTCTTCTAAGGTTGTACCACTGATGTTGACCAAATGACTTGAAAGGATACAAAAAATGAAAACGAACCTGAAGTAACACTGTCATAACTGTGCAAATGCCTTTTGCTTTTTTGCATACTTCTCACCTTAGTTCTACTTACACACCACATATTTATGTACGCATCTTCAACCCATCTAGGCGTGATAAAGAAGTCTCGCTAAATTTCAAGTCTAGTCTCTGAAAAATGGAATACAATTTGAGCAATTCCAAATGAAGGTGGTTTTGAATCTCTCATGTAACAACCAAAGTAATGCTACTGATCTGTCCTGGTGAAAACCAGCCCCTTGTTCGAAGTTATGGGGTCTGAACCCATGGCACTTGAGAAATTATTGCTTCCTCTATTGAAGTTACTCAACTGCTTATATTTGCCTCTGACATGTAAGGCGCCACTTCAACGCTACAAAACTTACTGAAAATTGCCTGCAGTTTAAACAACCACTGTCCACCGTAAAGCTGAACCAGATGGCTGTTAATGTTATTTCAATGTTTGGAGGCGTGGCAAATGTGGACTGGTTGGCTTTGTTCACTTCCTCCACTGGTTGACAACAGTGAGCCAAATAACCATGTAAGATGGTTCTAACACCACCACACTGCATGTCACCCATACGATTACAATAGTAATGCAGTACCAAGTAAGTATTGTCAATTGATAAAATCTCTTTAAAGGAAGCTATGTGGATTACATTAAGTTATCAATGTTACAGCAGTTCCTCATACTGAGCAAGTGTCAGTAGAAAGCAGCAAACCCCTTTCAAGCACTTTGAAAGCACTTTGAATTGCCTTGTTGTTGAAAATGTGCTATATAAATAAAATTACCTTACCTTGCCTTACCTTTCAACATTAGCAAACCTTCATTCATTTGAGTATTTAAGATGTTAAAAAAAACAAAAAAACTGGTGACTAAAACTCATAGTTCAGGAGAACTTTCTAAGTTCTGAGTACAAAGAGCAGTAGATGCTCCAGTAATATCTAGGAGTAAAGTTATCCTATCCTACCCCAATAATTAACACATGTGGACAATAGGGACATTGTTAATGTTCTCAAACCTGCCCTCTGATAGTTTAAGCAGCTGTTAACTGAGTGGTTTGAAAGAATGAGTAACTTCAGTAGTGCTTTGATAGCTCCCAATATTTTCCATTTTCAGCTTTGAATTCAGAATTCCAAATTAAAGGCAGCAACTGTTGACTGAATTTCCCTCCTAAGTGGAGATGTTGACTTAGAAAAAGAGACCTCCAAACCCCAAATAGCTGCTTCGGGGTTTAATGTGTAAAATTCAGTAATAAACGGTTTATTTGCTCTGCTGCCAGTTTGAGTCTCATTATATCATCACGCTCACAGTGCTGTCTAACCTTAGTTAGTGAACATCTTGTTTGAATGCATAAAAAGCAGAGTAATGCGCTATTACTTGTTTATGCTGCTAATCGTTGCCAACTCCATCAACACCTTATGCTGATTTTCTGACTTGCAACTGCAAAACTGTTGTGTGATTCACTTCCACAACTGATGCAGACGTGAGACTGTGAGTGGTTTTTACAGTCTAACTTTGGAACGAAGAGCTCTAACCTTGATTTTTAGAGCTTTTTATTGCTTGTTTTTGCAAAAAACTAGACTGTTTTCTGTTTTCCAACCTAAAAGGTTTTGGAGAGGAAAAGGGAGCATGGCTTGTACAAGAAGATATGGGACAGACGTTCCTTTTGCTAAACTTTCTCTATCCTTTGTCTGTCCTTCTCTATTTATCCCCTGGGTTTGTGATCCGGCGCCCTGCCAGGCTGCTGACAATAGAGACGAACAGTCAAAGGAACCTCATGGAGATAACTTATGTCGGCTGTTAGTCTTCCATGATTCTGCCTCCTGTACCCCAGCTGGAAGTTCTCCTAAATATCTTTTAATGAGTCTGGAAAAGTGGCTTTGTAATCTAATTTTATCTAATCTGATTTCAGGGTTTTCTTGGATGCATCTCTTTAGATTTATTTATTTTTTTTCTCCTGGGAATAACCCGTTAAGAGGAGGATCAGGAACTCCGAAGGAACTAGAGTGCTGTGAAAATTTATTTACATACTTTTTCTGTTTGTGGTTGTTATGTTTAAATTTTAAGATCACCAAAAAAATGTCCGTTTCAAATTTGAGTAAGCCTTGATACAGAAAGGATTTTTGATGCTTTAATTCATTAAGGGGAAAAAAAAAAAAAAAAAAAAAGTTTAAACCAGTCGGGCCCTATTTGAAAAAGTAATTGCGCCACCGTTCATGGGAATGACTTCCATCATGTGTTTGAGATAGCTGGCTGTGTGTTTTTTGCATTTCTGTAGATTAATTTTGAGCCACTCATCTTTGCAGAAGACTCGAGAGTAAATTTTGACTATGCCACACCACATGATTATTTTACTCATTGTGCTTTTCTTTTCCTGAGCCTTTCAGAGGTGAACTTGCTGGTATAGTTCAGACCATTGTCCTGAGGCATTACCCAAGCACTGTTGAGATTAAGGTCCTGTAATGATGGTCGAACAATCTGGTGTAGGAACTAGAGAGCATAAATCATGGTTCCATAGTTTACTGAAAACTGTTTCAATGTGAAGACAAAAAGCAGCTCCTGACTATAATATTACCCTGAAACACTTGCAAGTTTTTGAGATGTTGAAGTCTCACCCAAGGATGCAATTTTTACACTTTCTTTCTTTCTTTCTTTCTTTCTTTCTTTCTTTCTTTCTTTCTTTCTTTCTTTCTTTCTTTCTTTCTTTCTTTCCTTCTTTTACTTTTACTTTTACTTTTGGTGCACCATAAAGTTTTCCCAGGCTGGAAGACATGCACAGTCTCTCCAGTGAGTTCTCAGTTCTCAGTTTGAGCCATCCCTCTGTCTGTTTTTTGCAGAAAGGTGCAAGGAAAGATACCGATTTCAGTTCAAAAATACTTTATTGATTCCAGAGAGCAATTAAATTAAAATAAAATACATCCAGAGTGCAGCTGGGTCCTAAACCCTAAAAGAAAACTCCTTTTTATACCTACATGAAAGCAGCCACATGTTTCCTTCAGTTAAAAGATTGCTAAACTTGTGAACAGATGGGGTGCTTCAGTTTTATTTTTAACAGAAAAGAAATGTGAAGAAGGTAGTTTTATCTAACCTTCTCTGTCCTTCGTACATTTCGAAGAACTTCAGCCGGCTTATTACTTCAGGCTTTTGGAACAAAAGACTTTGTAGTTTTTGTATTTGATCTCATGCTTGATCTGTTAATATTTTTCTTCAATTCATGCAAGCTGAAACAGTGATTCACAATTCTTTGCAAGTCTTGATTTACTGATCATCATTTTGACTCTGGTGCACGAATACATGTTGGAAATGAGCTACAGTCAGTTTCAGCTCACGGAGGCTTAAAGAGTCTCGGTGGCGAGTTCTAGCAGCTACTGCCCGGCCCAGCCACGAAACCAGGATTCATTAATTCATCCTGCTGCAATTGTGTGGGCTTTTAACGCTGTTTAAATTCACATTTGCACCTACTAAGGCTGTGATATCACAGTAGTTTCTGCACGTCTAACACCACCGCTGCTGTGCGAGTTAGAACAAACCGTGAGTGAAGCTGAAGTGTTTGTCAGAAGATGTTCAGATAGGAAGAGTTGGGTTTAAATCTGATCCTGTTATGGTTCGTACCGGGCAGAAATCCAGTTTGTAAATATTGTATTACGCATTGCTACAAAATAAATTTAAAACATTTAATTTGTTTCATAATTCAGGAAAAATATATATATATATATATATATTTCCAACAGTTTTTGATGGGTGAGAAGAAATGAGCTCTTCCTACCTGTGTTTACTTGTATGCAGCTAAACGGTGTTTGTTTACTTCAAAATGGGATCTTCACACCTAAATTGCTCATGCCATCCTTTTTCTGTCACCAGTAAGCAGCCAACCATTCATCTGACATATCCTCATTAAAGTAGCATAATTTTCTTCATGAAAACAATCTGTTCTGTCAGTACTAAAAGACACTGCCAAACGGTCTGTTTCCAGAGCTCATAGCTATATAAGGTAGTGCTTTGCTGTTTTAACAGGTGTGGTTCAAAATGTTTTTTGTTTTTTTTTAACAGGTTTTAAGATCATTTTCCCAAGATCAATTTCTTTCTTTCTTCCATGATTTGTTCGTTTTCTGGTTCCAAAATATTGTGATATATCCTTTGTGATGGAAAACATGAATGTGAAGAAATATGACTTG